TTGACACTGGAGGGCTCTAATGTACCAAGAGAGGGGAATGTGGGGTTGAAATAAGTGAGTTACAGCAAAAAACATATATCACAATGTAAAATTCTAAATTTGGTGCTTCCAGACTACCATCCACTTTCTTTCTCTGAAGGAAGTTTCAGATACATGTTTTTTTTATAAAGATAAATTTAGAAACATCAGAATGTAACAAATCCATTGCTGACAATATGGATTCTCTGAAAAAAAAAAGGAATTAAAAAAAAAATGATAAGCAATTTCTTGCATATAGCTTTTTACTTGTTAGTGAAAAACTCGGGGACTTTCCCTCACAGTGTGGGAAAGTTGAGGCACAAGCTTCCTTTTTCCGAGTTGGCAGATGGCCTCACCTGTGTTTGTCTCATTACATCTGACTCACCTACATCTGAGACACTGTTCATTTGAAATATACCATAGCTGGGATAAGTAAACCCATTTACCCTCCCTGATGCTTTCATGAATAACATTATTGTTGTTGTTTTTGTTGTTGTTATTATATTATTGTTATTGTTAGCAGAACAAGAGTATCCTACTATGATTATTACTGATACTAAAACAGTAAAGTGTTCGCTTGGCTTGTGTATCACTGTTGTCGGAAGAAAACCTTGTATCTCCAAAATGGTAACTTTACAGGAGAAGGAAAAAAAAACTTAACCATGAATGAAAAAAAGACAGTTAAAGGTGAAACAGAGGAGAAATAAAACTTGATCAGCAACTTCTTGCATATGGTTTTTTACTTGTTAGTGAAAAACTCGGGGACATCCCCTTACAGTGTGGAAAAATTGAGGCACAAGCTTCCTTTTTCCGGGTTGGCAGATGGCCTCATCTGTGTTTGTCTCGTGTGCAGCAGCACCTCACCCTGTGCATACTTTGCAGTGCAACACAGCAGCCGCCTTTCTACAATATCAATACCCTATGTTAGCTGCAAATGTGTTCTTAATGTAGGCTAGCACCCATACTGTTTAAAAGTTTAAGAATGTGCTTTGTATGGACAGTGTGCTAGTAAGCTAGTGTCTTGCTTGTTTGTGGAAAATGAAGAAAATGAATCATTCATAAAAGAATCATTTTCTTGATTTGTCTTATGGCAGCTAAAAAGACCATTTTACATCTATGATTTGAACCATCTGTTCCCACCATTACATCTGACTCACCTACATCTGAGACACTGTTCATTTGAAATATACCATAGCTGGCATAAGTAATTTACCCTCCCTGATGCTTTCATTAATAACATTATTGTTGTTGTTTTTGTTGTTGTTATTATATTATTGCTATTATTAGTAGAACAAGAGTATCCTACTATGATTATTATTGATACTAAAACAGTAAAGTACTCCAACAAAATTCAGAGTTAGAGTAAGAGGCTTTTTGCTCACTGTTCATTTTAAAGGTGAGTCCCACCTCTTTAATATGAAAACAAATAGGGGAACAAAATCAACACTGTGTAACATTGAAAATCTGTTATAAATATGTTAATTTGTAGAGATAAGGAGTGGGCATGAATCAACCTGACTACAACATTCTTGTGACGCCTGTCTTTAAAGGGAAGAATTGACAGAACTGGCTCTATTCCCATCTCTTAAATAGAAATATGTCTTTATAATCCAGAATCCAATTATCACATTGTCCTAGACATGGCCATGGATACACAGACACAATCCTCACATCCCTTGGGAGGATTTTGAGATCCTCATTCTGTCCCACTCATGTTGTGAATCCTAAACGTTAGCCTCTGTGTGATCTACCTCATTAAGAAGGCCTGTTTCAGGGCAACTAGCTCCTTTCTAAAGACCTTTCTGATGGTTTTAGTAAGTCAGGCTTCATCTGTATTACCATATTTCTAAAATGGTTTTCTACATAGCATGCTTTGTTTTATTGGCTATATAGTAACATAATAATAACAACCTTTATTTATATAGTACTTTTCATGCCAGGGGTAGCTAGAAGTGTTTTACAGACATGTAGTAGAGCTTACCAGTAGTAGAAGAAATTATTAAATTATTATTATTATTAATTAAAAAAACTTCACAGATCAAATAAAAAAAAAAGATAAATACCAAAGTGAAGTAAAATTTGAATTAAATGCTAGTAAAGTTAAAGAGATACTTCAAATAGTATCTTTGAGATATTTTCAAATGTTCCTTCAAAGTGTGAACTAAACTTGGCTGTCTAATAAAAGGTGGAACTGAGTTGCACAGTTAAGAAGCATTATAACTGAAAGAGGCCTCTCAGCGTTTTCTGTATTTTACGGGCGATGTTAGCAGAAGGTCAGTATCTGCAGATCTAAGATCATGTGCTGGAGCATAGACAGGCAGTCTTTGTTAGGATCTGTGCTGCTGCATTTTGTATGAGTTGTAGATGACACATTGTTAGGAAGTTCAGTAAGAAGAGCATTACAGTAATCAGTTCTGCTTGTACCAAAAGCATGAACAAGTTTCTCTGTGTCACTCTGAGATAGAAATGGCAGAACTTTAGCAATATTTCTCAAATGAATGTTTCAAAATTATGTTTTCAATAAATCAATATTTCTCAAACTTTAGTGACTGTGTTTACATGTGGGATAAAAAAGCTTTCTCTGACTTTTAGTATCAAGGATCAGTATTTCAGTTTTTTTTGTGAAAAAAATGAATGACATCCACTGAGAAATGTCTGACACACAGATGGTTAGTCTGTCTACAGAGTCTTCATTATTGGAAGGAATGGAAATGTATAACTGTGCATCATCAACATAGCGATGAAAATAATATGTTTCCTAATGACATCACGTAGAGGTAACATGTACAAAGAGAAAAGCAAATTCCCTAAAACTGAACCCTGTTGGACTCCACAAGAAATGCTACATTTTATTGATGGTTTCCCAGTGAAACCATGAAATGTCTGTGCATGACAGGCCTACTGAGTATTCAAGATGGTGTATTAGAATCTTTAACGGTATCACAAGCTGCACTATAAGATCCAATAACACCAGAATTTACGCTCGAATATACTGGGCAATTCAAAGTTCTCTGTACTTTGAGCTCACCCCATTTCACTGCACAAAAAATATGCAGAGAGCACTGACTCTCCTAATACATCCCCGAGTCCTCCTCCAGACAGCCAGTAGACGTAACATTGTGTTCTTAAATGATGTTTAACTAAAAGTGTTTAGTCAGTTTTGTTATAATTACAGCAGTGGGCGTTGTTCATCATTATCGTCTTAAGTTTTTTCTCAAATAAGGTCTTGAGAAAGGGCCTAAGCAAAAGTCTACAATGGATTCAATAAATGTTCTTCAACTGGAGAGTTGTTCTTACCTTTGTATTCTTAAGTGTGTGTAGATTCTGTTCTTACCTTATAACAAATTCCAAGTAGTAAAACCTTGGTGATTGTCAGAATCAGAAGTTTTAAGAAGAAATACCAAAACAGTCACACTTAACTCAGTTAAAACAAAAACTACAATAAACATGAAAATGAACTAAAATTGCTGTGATGTATAAATGCCTACTTCTTACAAAAAATAAACAGTGTAGGTGCAATTAGAAGACAATCAGAGACAAACAACTGACCATCTGTACATATGAAAACCTAAGGAGTACTGGCAGGGGTACTGGTACGGCTCTGTTAATCCAAAAAGTGGTTTCAACAATTACTCCATTCTGAGCATTGTACAAAACAACAAACGCCCTACATCTCTAAATACAATTTAAACTAAGCATAGTAATGCTGTCTTAGATTTACATCATGGTGTTTGATCTTACATTAGTAAATAAGCAGATTAAACATAAAATAAATAAATGATAGCCTATTTTTTCTTAAATGTAATGCACAGACATACATTGAATTTGTGGCAGCAAACTTTTCTACATTCAGAAAAAAAGATTTTTTTTTATTATTAAAAAAGTGATATATCGTGTTCTATGGGAAACTGAAAATCTGTGAGGACTGGCAACCCCCAGTGACTTGCCATGAGAATCAAGAAAAATTATAATACATTAAAGTTTGTGTTTCTTTTTTGTTAAAGTTGCTGCTGCAAACAGGAAAAACAACATTTGTCCTCGTTCTTACATTCTTTCATTCAGGGAAACTCCTGTACGAAAAAGCCTAGGATGATATGTTGCCATTGCTGCTATAAAACTAGCTAGTTAATTCAATTATCCACAAAGAAGAACATGATGGAGGAGTTAAGGAAGAGCCCCCCACAGAAAGTCAGTGAAGGCTGTGTTCTTTAGATTTCTAACTTGGCATATTTTTTCTGCTTATGTTATCTTAAGCACTAATGTTTTCAGCTGTACAAATGCTCCTTTAACAGGCTTGAAAAACAGGGTGCCAGTTTACCAGTAAAAAAATGTTAGCAATGACAGATAACACTCTACCCACCCTGTTTTACGTATTTAGATATGTTGATATGCTTTGAATGAGAGAGAAAAAAAAATGAACATGTAATCTGTAAATGTGACTGTGATTTGTATCATTTGTTCATTTCTAGTACATTATGATGACTAAACAATCTAAATGAATGAAGGCACCCTATTTTTGTAAAATCACTTCAGTAATTCCAATGGCCAGGTAAAATTTTGCGTCAAGTAAGGAGAAACCTTCTATATTTTTCAAAAATCTAAACATTTGCTCTAAACATATATTTGTGTTAGAGGAATTTGTAGTTTCTCTAAAGAACACCTCATTTTTAGGTTTTGAAATGAACATCACAAGACATTCTCTGGTACATGCTTCTGTGGAAGCACAACTTGTCCCACATTTTTCATGTGTTGTTTCTGTCAGTTTGACAAGATGCTGATGATTAAAAACTTCAAAAATGCACCTGCAAACAATGTGCCTTTCAACCGAGACAGACAACGAACTCAAAAATGTGTGACAATAAGTGCTCTAATCTTGGTCATGGAAAAATGTGTCTAAGAGGCCACACTCTGTCACGTCACTTTCATCCGACCTTATAAAAAAGGCCACAGAAAGGTGAGAACTACTTTACCAACTCGCACCATGGAACCGTTAAGAGTAAGAGTAGCCTGGTTTTGAGGATTTTAGGAATTGACGGCCACCAGTTCACAAATATTGAATTAAGCTGATTTTGTAGAGGAATTGGGTGAGTTTGACATTTGACAATTTAAGGCCTTTTTTCTGTCTCCTGCAAACTGAGTTCTCCTGGCTAAAATTCTGCTGGTATAAAAATAAGAAATTGTATTCAAATGGATGAGATCTCATAACTGATTTTAAGACTTGATCACATCAATTTAATGAATCTTTGCAGTTGCAGATAAAACAATCAATAATAGAATCGTTGAATACTGATTCACAGTATAAATAATAGAACTAGATCTCACCATGCAAAACAAATTTTTGTAAAATTTTTGTCTCTTTTTCTATTTAGTTCTTTTTAGTTCTTCTCTTCCGAAAAACTTAATTTGACTCATACAAGTTGTACAAATTAAGTCTTTTGCTTGACACATTCGCTCTATAAAGACTGCGTAAGGGTATGTCATGAACTCATGCAAAGTCAAACAGAGGTAAATTAAATACCCATTGCTGTGAAAAAAACAAAATTTAAAAATACTACTGGAATTTATTTTATGTATTTTATTTATCCAAATATTTAAAGGCTTGCTGACTGAAACAAGCCCAAGAGGCTGCACTAAAAGTTTAATTTGTGTGATTCAAATGTATCTGTTGCGCATAAATAATGTGTGCATGAGTATAAGGATTTAAAATAAAAGTAGGATAGTAGAAAAATGACAATGACAAACTAATACACTAATTGTCACCTCGCTACTCAAAAATTAACTAAAGGATGGATCAAAAGAAATGATCAAAAATACCCAAATACCAAACACAGTTGTCTTTACTTTTATATCTGTGAGTCCTAAAATTTTGGTAGTTAGAGCTTCTGAAAAAAAAATCCAAAAATGATGACCTACCACTGGTCTGTCCTATTCACTCCAAATCATTAGGATCTCTGTAAATGAATCATACAACCAAGGGAAGGATAAGGATTATGTTTTGGGTAGAGGTTAAGGTTAGGTTTAGGGTTAGAAGCAGGGTTATTGTTAGGAAAAAATAAGGTGCACATAATAGATGATCTGCAGAATGTAAGTTAAATGCAAGACAAGCATTTACAAGGCATCTATGGGGGGGCTATCCAAATGACGCGTTACTTAAAGCGAAAGTCCCATAATTTATTTAGTGCCAGTGAATGGCACCATAGTTGCAGGCAATTCAAATCCAAATTATCTAGATGATACACCACAAAACAAATATTCAAATGTGATGATATTCAGTTCTGAGAACTATGAACTTGACTTGCATGCAGAATTAATCAGGCATCTACCCAGACATTGATCGAATGAAAAGTGGAAAGACACTGCCATGCCTTCAGTGTTTTCTGAATGTGAAGAATTTGATGATGCATTGAGGATAGAGTTGGAATGTAACAGAATACAAGCATTCAGAATATTGCAAAGGCAGTATTCAGAATACAGTTACTTTTTACATTTTTAAGTGAATACTTTTAGAATACTTACCCACTACATTCAAATAATATATACCATTTTTAAAAGAAGCACCATCTATGCATGTTTATCAACCTTTTAAAAATCAGTGCATGATGTGTAAAGGCATACTCTTAAGATGTACGACTATACTTTACAAACACTGAAATTCTTGTTAAAGCCTGAGTAGACTTATTAATTTATGTGAAGTTCAATGATTTATCTCAGTGTTACTGAGCTCTATTAAAGCCTGAGTAGACTGATAAATCAATGTGATCAGTTATTAATCTCAGTGTTACTGAGCTCTGGTAATGCCTAAATAGACTGATAAATGTGATGAGCCAGTTCAATCTCAGTGTTAATAAACTCTTTTGAAAGATGACAGAACAGAACAGTCTCCTCAATAGTGGACATGTTCAGAAGTGACAAACTTAGCCGTAGCGTTATACTGGACAAGTTACATACATGCCAGCAACTGACAATCACACAGTGAACTACTTTGTGGTTAAATGTAAAAGATTTTGGGTTTGAGATTTTGTTCAGGAGACAGCAGTGGGATAATGAGAGCAGCAGTGGACTGAAGCAGGCAGCAAAAGCCAATAGAATAAGTGAATTTTTCAAGGAACATATTATAACAGAAGAATTACACACAGAAAACTGCCAACCAGTAACAGTGAGGAACAGTGTAAATGAAAAAAAATACAACAGTGATTTTTTCCTATGTGTCTTATCAATGTGTATTCAAAATGTATTCTAAATGAATTCTGAATGTGCTACTGTTTTATGCATTGCAATGGAAATTCTTGAATACATTTAGAACAGCATTCAGTATTCAGTCATCACTACTTTTTCAAAGTATTCTGCTCAATCCAGATTGGGGATGATTTAAAGGATGAGTGTATTTTTTTCTAAAAGCAGTACCTGGCTACCCGTTTAACACTTTGAAGTCTAGAACTGCTCAGAGATGTTGAAATATATTGTGCCTGACTAAGCTTGTTGCAGCACACACCAAGCATAAAGGTACTGGCAATCACTGTTAGCCCTTTACTCTCTCTTTCAGCCTGTCTCTGTTGCCCTATATTTTGGCTTTATCTTCTATGTGTGCCCAGAAAGACTTTTTTTGTCCACATATTGTCCTTCGGGAGTCATGTCTGGGGCTGTAGCCATGGTAGCTAGTCTGTTCACATTCATTTGTAGATGTGTGTGTGTGTCTGCGAACTATTTTTACTTTTGAATGCATCATCCAAAGTCATGTTTCTACTCCTGGTTTGCCAGGGCGAATTAAAATCTTTTAGTTTACAGTCAGAAAACTGGTGGTAATGACACAGATCTGTAAAAATCTCATATGATCCACTTCACTATCACTTCAATATTAGTCCATACTACATGCATATTCTCAAAAACAAGAATCAATGACAGGAATCCACTGCAAACCTCAACTTAAATTCTACAAGTTGAGAATTCTACTGAAACACACAAAATAAAACAGAATAGAAAAGAATGGAATCAAATTGCGTAGTGTAGAATAAAATTTGTTGACCCATAAAATACTACAGTTTAATGTATGCAATATCTTTTAAAGGTGTTAAGTGAAAATCAGTCAAGATGAACGGAAAAACACTGGCTACAGTTTTTATGCTAGTGGGTAAGTTCCCTAAAACATATTTTTTTTTCAAGATATCACTTCAAGAGTTCCTTCAAGAGTTTTCAAACTGAGTGAATATTATGTTTGCACCCTTGAAACAGCCGCATTGAATGCTTTCAGTGCACAGGCAGAAAACAGCAATGAGACAGTAACATCTTCACCAGACACAACACTAAATGTTACCAGTGCACCCACCACAACAAATGTTTCAGTATCTACTAATGGATCGACAGACCCTACAACAGTGTCCGCAGCAGAAACAGCTACAGTTAACGGCACAGTGGAATCAACTACACGTCTCACTGCCAATTCAACAACAGGCTTTACTACCCAGGCAGTTGTCTTAACCAATGTCACCACGGGATCAACTGCAGGTCTAACTTCTGAATCAACTGCCCAGTCAACAGGTACTGCTGCAGAATCAACAACAGGTTCTAACGTCCAGCCACCTAGTAACGTCTCAAGTCCAGCAACAAGTACAATCACAATGGCTGCATCTACAGCTAACATGTCAGAATCATCACCAAGTGCTCAAGCTGCAACAACTGCAAGTATCCCACAGGGAACATCAACAGGTGTTAGTAATACTTCAGTACCTACAGTAGTCACATCTGTAACACCATCGAGTCCTTTGTCTGGATCAACTACAGGTATTATACTGGAATCTTCAACAGGAGGTACACCAGGATCACCAAGTTCTCCTGCTGGAGCAACAGGTATCACATTGGGATCATCATCAGGTGTTACTGATACATCAGCAACTCCACATGTCACATTAGGACCACAATCAAGTCCTCCTTCAGAATCATCTACTGTTTCAACATTGGGACCATCAACCAGTGTTAGTTATGCATCACCATCTACAGGCATTGCATCGGCAACACCATTAAGTCTTCCTACTGGATCAACTACAGGTATCACACTTGGATCACCAACAAGTGTTAGTTATGCATCACCATCTATAGACACAACATCAGGACCATCATTAAGTCCTCCTACCGGGTCACCTACAGGTACCACACCAGGTCTATCAACCAGTGTTAGTTATGCACCACCATCTACAGGCATTACATCAGGAACATCATTAAGTCCTCCTACTGGATCATCTACAGGTATCACATATGGATCACCAACAAGTGTTAGTTATGCACCACCATCTACAGGCATTACATCAGGAACATCATTAAGTCCTCCTACCGGGTCATCTACAGGTATCACATATGGATCACCAACAAGTGTTAGTTATGCACCACCATCTATAAGCACTACATCAGGGCCACCATTAAGTCCTTTTACTGGATCATCTACAGGCATCACAGTAGGATCATCAGTTACATCTGGACCATCATCAAGTCCATCACATCCAACAGATTCAACAGGACTATCACCAAGTTCTGCAATATCAAGTATAAGTATCACACTAGGAGAACCAAAAGCTAGTACCATACCAGAATCTACAGTAGTCACATCATACCCACCATCCAGTAGTCCTGTCGGATCAACTACAGGTGTCACACCAGGACCAACAACAAGTGCTGGCAGTGCATTAGTATCTACTGTAGTCACATCAGGATCATCAATGAGTTCACCTGCTGGATCAAATACAGTCATCACAGGATCAACTACAGGTGTCACACCAGGACCAACAACAAGTGCTGGCAGTGCATTAGTATCTACAGTAGTCACATCAGGATCACCAATGAGTTCACCTGCTGGATCAAATACAGTCATCACAGGATCAACTACAGGTGTCACACCAGGACCAACAACAAGTGCTGGCAGTGCATTAGTATCTACAGTAGTCACATCAGGATCACCAATGAGTTCACCTGCTGGATCAAATACAGTCATCACAGGATCAACTACAGGTGTCACACCAGGACCAACAACAAGTGCTGGCAGTGCATTAGTATCTACAGTAGTCACATCAGGACCACCAATGAGCTCACCTGCTGGATCAAATACAGTCATCACAGGATCAACTACAGGTGTCACACCAGGACCAACAACAAGTGCTGGCAGTGCATTAGTATCTACAGTAGTCACATCACGACCAACATCAAGTCTTTCACCAACAACAGGTATGTCATTGGAAACCTTAAATTATGTTCCTGGCTTACATTCCACTCATGAGCATTCTCAAATCTTAAATGGCTGTGAAACTGCTGTTACATGTATTTGCTATTCTTCTTGTTGAGCTTTGTAACTTTTTTCACCTGTTCTACAGTTGCCACTACCACAGCAGCTTCTGCTGTAATAAAAGTTAGCTTTACCAGCAATGAACAATTTACCTCTGACCTACTGAACTCATCTTCAGCTGCCTTCATCCAGCGTTCACAAAAGGTCAAAACAGAGGTCTGTACCGGACAGTAAAACACTGTGTGAATACACTGTTTTCATGCCTAAGTAGCATAAATACAAACCTTCTTTTTTAATGTGAGAAATTTTCTTTTATCGAAAATAATAAAAAAAAAACTTACTTGCTTACTGTGGGATTGAATGTTGAATTTGATTTTGGGACCTCTTTGTTCACAGTTAGGAACAGCATTTGCGACAACATTCACCACCTTCATCGCGCTGACGGTGACTAGTTTCAAGTGGGTATTTTTTCTGTTACAAATTCTTTAACAGCTTTATATCATCATAAGTCATGAGTGTGTGTCACATGTCTGACATATGGCCTTTTCAAATCTGTTTTCATTTGAATAGGGAAGGGTCAATCATCACATTTATGAATTTAGAGTTTAGTTCTGGAACTGCGCCCAATGACACTGCAGTCGTTAGTACTGTACTCTCTGCAAAAACATCTCTCAACATTACATCAGCTAGTGGTAAGTATTAATCATGTTAAGTTTTTGGTGATACAAAGTCATATGCAAAAGTAGCATTTCAGCTTCTGATATTTTGAGGTTTCATTAGCTGAATCGTGATCATGTCTCGTATGTTATTCGTAGTGATAACAACAACGACTACTACACCAACTACAGCTGAACCAACAACAACTACATCTACAACTCAGATTCCAACATTATTGACATCCACCACAACTACTACAACTCAAGTTCCAACAACCACAACTACTGCAACAACTACTCCAACCACCACTAGCACAACAACTACTACTACAACTACAACTACTACTACCACAACAACTACTACTACCACAACAACTACTACTACCACAACAGTAGCACCAACACGTCCACCCCCGGCTGTTGCGCTACAGATTGTCATACAGCAAGTCTATGTTGTCCAGCTGAGTAACCCTCAGAGTCAGGAGTTCCAAAGCTTAGCCAGTGTAGTGGTATTATCAGTGAGTGTCAGACTAATACATCACAACATTTATGCTATATTAATGGAAGACTACAGGCCAGAATCATAAAACTCAGTGAATGATAATACAAATCTCTTTGCAGTTTGACAGAATCTACAAATTACAATATGGGGTTCTCTTCGTCAGGACTGTTGTGACAGCTTTTAGGTAAGAGTTGGTATAATATAACTACAAACTGACCTTTAGTTTCAAACATATACAGTGCAATGTTATGATATGATCTTATCCATGTTCTAGTAATCTTTACACTTCATAATGTGGTGGTGAATCATGATTACAAACTAGGCTAAAAATTCCTCATTACACACCCTTGACAGATCTACAACTCATTATTGAAAACAAAGTGTTAGACATTCTTATGCAGAATTTCCTTGTCAGGCTTCAGTGTTTTTTGTACCACACAAGATGTAAATGTTTAGAAAAACTGAAAATCATAAGAAGGTGGAGCATAGTCAAATCCAGTGTTTTATTTTTTTTTTCCAGACCTGGGACCACACGTGCACAAAACGTAGAAGCAGATGTGCAGTTGATATTCAACGAGAACTCCACGAAGCCTATCCCAGCTGCTACTGAAATTGTGAGCACTCTGAAAGAGGCTATATCAAATCCAAGCTCAGGTTTTACCTTGTTAGTGGACCCCACCTCCATCACTGTTCTCAGTAAGTTGAACATGGACACCAAAGTGGGTAGATTCGTCTATCTTTCTTCCAACTGAAGAGAGAACTGTTTTTGACAGTGCTAAGAAAGTTTATGTTAAAGACTTTTGAATTATGGTTAATGTTACTGTCTATCCTATATGTTCACAGGTTCAGCAAGGCAAATATCAACCACTGTATTCCCACATTAAGAAATTTGCATCCTGTCTTTATTTCTTCAGGTTCTCCGCAGATTGTCCCTGTGGTAATTTTCACAAATGGCACTTTTGTAACGGCTCTCTCTAATTCCACTTCGGCTTTATTCACAAACAGGTCATCAATGATCAAAACAGGAGTACGTATGATATCACATCTCAGTGATTTCAGAACTATTTATAAATATGTTTCCTTTTTAACCACTTATTCGTTTTTGCAGCTCGAGCCTTTTTTCACTGCTGATTATCCTTCAGCATTCAGTAGCTTGGCACTGACAAATTTCAGGTAATTATGGTGTTTCTTGATCTATATGCACTCAGGCAGGACCAAAGAAATTATGATCTATATTAGTTTGAATCATTGCTCAGTCATGTCTAAAATGAAAGGTTGAATTTACTTAGAAATGTTGTACCAAGTAACTGTAAGTGGCTTCTAAGGTACTTGGCTGAGTAATAGCTGGATTGGACTGATGACTTTTTGTATTTCTCTTACATTCAACTTAATATGTTTATTTCTACTAATTATAGTATAAAAAGTTAATGGATTTGAATTAGATCAACATAATATTACTGTGCTACTTAGCTGTCGTAGAATTATGCTCTGCAGGAGGTTACATGGTAACTTGAAAACTGATGAAAACCAACCACACTAGTTACATGTTTTGAGTGTATGTAACTTAATGATAACAAAGAATCTCATTTCAGTCTTTTGTCCTCACTCACTTTATGTTTGGCCATCCAGTGATGGAGGTCTCAGCACTACTGGTGTAACAATGATCCAGAGCTCCATGGATTTGTCTTTTGGAGCCTCTGCTACACTGCCCAACACCACTCAGATTGGACAAACTATAATTAGAGCAGCTAAAAATAACAGCCTCCCCTTCCAGATCTTCACCTCAAAAATCATAGTGAATGGCACTGGTAAGTTATTTAGACAAATGAATCACCAATAATCACTGTAGACTGATTTTTTAGTACTGTGATACAAAAGCTTTTAAAGAGATAAGATAAAACGTGCAAAGACATGCTTTCAAAGTGCTGTCTTTTAGCAAACACAAAGTCCATGTGGTATCTGCAGTGCTCCCTTGCCCATTTCAGGTTGGAGTTTGAGGAATCTCAATGTTTATGAATTTAGAATTGTAGACTCTTAGTCATTTTCCTGTATATGAAACGTTACAGTTTTGCCATGTATAGTCATACATGCTAATTTGTAAACATTAATAATATATAAATATAAAATGTTCTTTTTAAGTTGTGTTGAATTATTTAGACTTGTGATAGTTCCTCTGTTGTTATTCAATATTCTTTTATATTTCTTTGTGATACAGTAATATCATCAAGCGAAGTCAGCAGCAAGATCAGCATGTTCACAGCGACCTTCATGGTGGCCATCTCACTTCTAGTTACATGGTCCAGCTAAGGATGACGATGTCTACCATTCCCAAGAAAAGATTTCAGAATGTTCCTGACTTTAGTTTCTTAAATGTACCAATTATTTGCGAGAAACCTTACGTTGGGGCCCCATAGTTTAACTCTGAATGCTTCATAAACACTGTTTATGAAATTAAACCATTGTAAATTGAGAATAATTTGCATAATGTAATTTGAGTGCATCACTGTCAGTTACCATTAAAAATTGTGATATTCACGCTGATACACAGGTTGCAGTTTGCATTCTGAGCCCCAAGAGTTTATTTCTAGGCCTTCTATAAATATTTTTAGCATCAGTTAAATCTCCTGATGTGCATGAAACCTTCAGAATACTTCAGAAAAGTAAATTAAATTACTATCGGTAATAATGGTTTATATGCAGTTATAAGAAGTCTAGTTGTGGGTAAAGACGTAATGTGGTTATTATCTCTACATCTGTAGAGATATCTGTACCTTTGCTCCTGCCATCAGATGAGTGAGAGCTACATAATGAATAGTATGTAGTTTAGTCATGTCATAACATTTATATATTTTAAGAAGAGTACATTAGTCTTAAATAAAAACGATTCATTCTGTTTTGTTGAAATTGCATTGTCACAATGGGTCAACGACATAAAGTGCATTTACAGGAAGGATTGCGTTCAAAGGCAGAGATTTATAAGGGTGTCCAAGTACAAAGACTATTTAATACATTTTCTGGGTGGTAAACTTGATTAAGTCCTGTTGAAATGTGTTTTAAATTTGATATAGATTTATTTATATATAAAATTAATTAATATATTAAATAGATTCTTGCAGATGCAAAATTGCACACTTTTAAATTATTTAAATTTTGAAATTTGACCCTAGTACATAATACTGCAGTGTATTGTTGTCCCTCTGCTACTGCCATCAGATGAGCGAGAGCTCTATGATGAAGGGTATGTAGCTCTATCATGTTATTCCTTTTTATTTATATATTTTTGTAAGAATGAATTGGTTTTGAGTTAAATTCACTCTGATTTGTTGAAAATGCATTGTCATAAAACACGGAATTACTAACTTTTAGGCTGTTCTTTAGGAAATTAACAAAGGTCTGACTGGTGAGAGGGTTTTGAATGAAAATGGCCAAGTAATTTAAAGTACATTGTATTAATTGTTTCAAAATAAAGTGATTCCAATGTCTATTTGCTCTATATTTTTATTTTTAACACTGGCTGCCACTTGAGTCAAGTCAAGGTTTTACGACTGCTCTTTCTTTATTATTTCTACAACCTTGACCCTTAATGCTATAGCAAACTTCAATGATTCCTTTTCAGGGCACTTCTGCAAAGGTTCTTAATCTAAAGCAGACTAGAGACACTTGAAATTACAATTACAAGAAAATTATTTTCTGATTTTTGGATAAGCTGCGTCTGTTACATGTTTTTTTCTCAAACTGAAATCATACAAATGTCAAAACTCAACTGATATATGTTAATTTGTTTTGTTTTTCAATTTGCATTCATATACAACTTACTTTATTTCTGAAATGTTAGCAACTTTAATGAAGACGTTCGGCGCAACCACGTCATGTCATATATCACTGAAACGTTTGTTTGCTGTAGAGTCTTACTAGAATGTTTAGATAAAATATATAAAACTATTTCATGTTCAAATAGTGTTTTTAAAATCAATAAAATATTCTGAATCGCAAAATGCAAAGCAAAATTTTACATTATATTTTACATACTTTACATAAATACATACCTAAAAAAAATAAAAAACCATAAATAAACTTTCACCTTTTACAATGTACATTCAAAGCCAGAAATATCAGTTCATAAAATGCTTGCATACATATTCTATTCTGAAGGATTTTATTGAAAGATTTTGTAAATTATTGATAATAGCTGAACAGACACTAAATTTTAGCATGTTTTTTCCTCCTGACTCACTCATTTTTTTTCAGTTTTAACAAACAAACATTGCATAGTGCAGCTTCATAACTTTATTCAGTCGACACAAAAAGTGAACAATGAGTTATATTAACAATTCTATATAGACTTAATGTGATGTAACAATGAATAAATCCACTTTGATTTTACTTGAAATTTAAAGGCTGCAGGGAAATTAAAGTTTGTAAAAAAGCAGGAGCTACATCTACAAATGAACTGGAAGGCACTACATCTTTACACCAATAATCAAAACACATTCACATCCCCAAAAAATGTACTACACCATCATTCATACGTCATTCACAGCAAAACTGCAAAGTAGAAGGTCACAGTAACAGCAGTGACACCATGATCACTAAATAATCATTACATACCATCTCCCAGACAGATAATGTATCTCTGCCTACAACACCTCTATCTTCACATGTTAGCTACACCAGCCACTGTACAGTCTGAAAACTTCCTGGTCACGTAGCAGGAGAGATTGTATCACCAATAACAGTATCTCAAGCTGACACAAGACTTTTAACCCAACAATGGAAATTCAGACTACCACTATAAAGTACCCTTCAGTCACTACATAAATTAAATTTTATTTTTTTACTAATAAATGAATGATTAAAGTGTTTCTACTAACACATTAACCAAACATTTAGATCAGCTTATAAAATAGATTTTTTTTCTTGCATATTTCATTCATTAAAGTTTACAAACTGCAACGGACCCACCAAACACCTCAGGCAATAATCAGCACAATAATCAGACTTAGGATATATTTTCAGCAAATTTGGATGGTTTTGAGGTAGTGGTGTAAAGGAGCTCACTTAATAAGCTCACGGCTATGCTGGGCAATGCACCACACCCCCTCCATGACCTACTAATCAGACAGTGGAACACTTTTAGCAACAGACTCATTCAGCTCCACTGTACAAAGTACAGGAGGTTGTTTGTACCAACAGCAATCGCACTGGACATTATATCTCTGTACTTGTATTACTATGCACTATATTCCTATATACTATATGCATTATATTCCTCTTTTGCACTGTCACTTGTATCTATATATCTACCTAAATTTCATGCACCTTAAGTATCAGGGTTACATCCAGATAGAGATTATCCACATAAAAATGCAGATATAAATGCTGTAGTGTAAGTAAATTAACAACACCACACAAAAGTGTGATCTCTGTGGTGCCAGGGGAGATCCTCAGCTATATGAACTCTGGAAGGAGTTCACTCTTTCCGCCATGGTCTCCTCAAGACTTGGAGGTGTGCACTCTATTCCCCTTCCTGCAATCAACAATCATCTCTTTGGTTTTGATTAAATTGAGGGAGAGATTGTTGTCTCTTTCTCTCTGTACACTTTCTCATTGTTATAAATGAGGCCTACTACTGTCATGTCATCAGTGAACCTGATGATGGTGTTAGATATTATGCTTGGCGATACAGTTACGAGTGTACAGGGTGTAGAGCATCGTTGATAAAACACAGCCTTGTGGACAGCCTGTACTGAGAGTGAGGGTGGGAAAAGTGTGGTTGCCCATTCTGACAGACTAAGGCCTGCTGGTGAGAAAATCCAGAATCCAGCTGCAGAATGCTGTTGGCCCGCAGAATTACGGAGTCCAGCATGCCACAGTGGAGCAACGTTTCTAAAAATACAACAGTTTCTGATTTCATGATTCCAGTCCATGATTCATGTCCATTTCAAATTTGCACACAAAATGTCTTTTGACTTTATGTTTATAAATACAAACAAAAAGTGAGGGGAAAAAAGTATTCAGATGCTTTTGTTATTTGATATACACTATATGGACAAAAGTATTGGAACTCCTACGCATTACACCTACAGGAGCATTTATGACATCCTATTCTAAATTCATAAGCATTAATATGGGCTTGGTCCCCCTTTTCAGCTATAAGAGCTTCCACTCATCCATTCCATTTTCATTCAGAAGAGCATTTGTTCAGTGAGGTTGAGGTCAGGGCTCTGTGTGGGCCAGTCAAGTTCTTACACACCAAACTCACAAAACCATGCCTTTATGGAGCTCGCTTTGTGCACTGGGGCTCAGTCATGCTGGAACAGAAAAAGCCTTTCCCAAACTGTTCCCACAAAGTTGGAATCATAGAATGGTCCAAACGTTTTGGTATGCTGAAGCATTAAGATTTCCCTTTACTGGAACTAAGAGTCCTAGGCCAACCCCTGAAAAACAACCCAATAGCATTATCCCTCATCCACTTTGCACAATGTAGTCAGGCAGCAACATTCTACTGGCATTTGCCAAACCCAGACTCATCCATCAGACTGCCAGACAGAGAAGCGTGATTTGTCACTCCGCAGAATACATTTCCACTGCTCCAGAGTCTAGTGGAGGTGTGCTATACAGCACCACCCCCCCATGCCACCCCGTTTGGCACTGTGCATTTTGATTGTAGGCTTGTGTGTAGCTGCTCAGCCATAGAAATACATGTCACAAAGTTCCTGATGCACAGCTCTTTTGCTGATGTTGCTTCCAGAGGTGGTTTTGAACTCATTAGTGAGCGATTCGACAGAGGATAGGCATGGTGAGGAGGGATATTGTATAAGGTTTTCATAACATATTGCAAAAAATTGGATTTATGCTAGGTTTTGTACCACAGAATGACTTGATTTTTTTATTATAATCTAATAATGCAGGTATAATGCAATTGATAAAAATTTAGAAAAAGTCTGGAAAGCACATGTAATGAACATAACAAACAAAGATGTACAACATGGTCTAAAAAAACTTATCTGATGCCTCTGACTTTTAAATAATTATTTCAGGCTTTACAGGGTGTCTTGCAGCAGCACACACAAACCATGCTGTAACCTTTTTTGTTCTCCTAACTTAATAATGCTACTACTTTTAAATTAAACAACAAATATTTCACTGTGCAGCTTTCAATAAGAAATAGTCCTCTTCACTGGCTTCACTGGGAAATTATCCCTAGCTCATTTTTTCCACTGCTTTTCAACTCAATACATTATTTAAAATAGCAAGTAATGGTCAGCCAATATAATACATGTTATTTAATTATATGCTGTTTTAACATACATTGATATGGTATGTTCAAACCTAAAGTAAACTGGCATTATGTTAGCTTTCATACTTTTACTCGGTGGACTGAAAAAGCATACACTGAAAGTTATATTAAAAAATCTACTTAGTGTGATCAAACAGTAAATAAATCCACTTTGATTTTACTTGAAATTTGAAGGCTGCAGGGAAATTAGAGATTTTTAGCAAAAGTTTCTATTTTTAACAAATAAATAAATTCATTATTTTT